ACAGAAAAATAATCCACATGACCGTAATGCCATAGCTGTGATGAAGGATGGAAAGAAAGTAGCAAGTTTACGACGTGATGTCTCAAAAGTGCTAGCTCCCGTTATGGATTCACAGTCAGCGAAATACTACGTTTTGAAACCAAGGCTAAGTGCTTCAAACCGCTCACCAAGTATGGATCGTTGCAATATTGCAATATTGGATTCATCGTGAATGAAGAGAAAGCAGAACGTGTGCGCCACATGCTGTGTGATTCATCTTACGTCGTTAAGTTCCAATGAGTTTTTACGTAAAAACACAAACAAAGCGGCCCTTTTCAGGGCCACCACACACTCCAAAAAGAGAACTACCGTAACAAACACACTATTTAAATAAATCAAACACGTTCATTTTTGACAAATAAAACTTTATTGTTGACCTCGGCTAAAAATCACCCTGGGTGTTTAACCGAGGATGTCCCCAACATGTAACTTTTGTGAAAACAGGGGGTGGGCGCTTGCCCAGGGAGGGGCGCGTGCCTGGGGTAATACGGTAATGGAATCACAGTTATGAGGTATGACTTGGCGTGATTCGTATTACTTAAAGCCGGTGACTCAAATCACAAACTATCCGTTTTTACACAATCTGGGAAGTCTGAATTACTAAACGAAGTACAGGACAACGAAACTGAAATATCCAAGAACAAACACATACCAAAAATTATATCTCAAAAGTAAATATTTATAGTTTAGTATAATTGGACTGGAAGTAAACATTGTTACTACCAGTACTCTAAATATCCAACGTATTTTAGTATAAGGTAGCGTTGTCAGTCATGACAGTGGCGATTATGTGATCCATGTTGGTGTTGTCCATGAACAATGGTGATGATGGCATCCATGAAAGTGTTGTTGGTCATGGCAGCAGTAATGATTTTAAAAAACACTTGAAATGGTGGTGGTGATATTGACATTTAAGAATTACAAATAGTTCATATACCAGGTTAAGTTAAGTGAGCAAACCATTCAGAAACTTAGCTGCCTTGCTGTTGTTTTGGTGTTCAGAACAATATGGCGGTGACAGTAAAAGGTGCTAAAACGTACCGATCTGAGAAAAGGTACATTTCCACAAAAACATCTTAAAAGGGCGGGGGATAGGAGGTATTGGCGTCCCCACTCCAAACATCACAAAACATACCGTAATCCTTCTATCAATTTGACCCCTCTATTAGTTGAACCACCTAATTTTGTCTGCAAAAATATTTTTTTGTTTTTTGCCTTTTAGTTCGCCCACTCACAGGAAATGGGGCATTCAAATTGCTATCATTCCAGCAAATGTTTCTCGCAATTAATAACAATAAAAAAAGTTTACTATGTTTGTCTTCCTGTGCATTATTCTCTCACTTCACCCCTCTTTTACTCACAAAGAAACAATGAAGTCTTCCAGACATGGTGTTGACTGTGTGAGCTTTGATAAACCATGGAAGGTACTAACGGAAGGAGCCACGACGCCTATCAAGTGGCCACTTAATTGGCTTATTTCCTTTTGTTTCAACCCAAATTAATCCTGATAAGTCCATTGTCTAGCTCATCTTTGATGTCCATGATAGTTGCCATTGTTTACACAAGTAACGAGTTAGCGGAGTATGATACAACCCCGCCATTTTTTTAATGTGACTATGAAATATATGCGCATTAAGAAACTACAGTTATCACACATGCGCACTGGGTTTGTTTAGGTGTAAATGGTCAAAATACGTATTTCACAACCGGAAATTCAACAGATGAACGTTTGACTTCACAAATTTCCCATGTTTTAAATATTAGCAACTGTAACTAGAACAAGATTTTGAGTGCATACAACAACAATTCCTAAGGACTCCTAAGAAATATTATCACAGAGAAAGTGTCAAGGCATGCTCTTCTTTCGATACTATCTTTTCTGTTGGTGTTCGCCGATGTCCGGTGGTCAAAAATTTCGACAGTTTCGGGCGCCAAACCCACGCACTGACAATAGTACCATTGAATAATGCAATCATCACAAGCAATCATTGATTAAGTCTCATTACCATTACAAATACAAAATTCATGATATTTCATCAGTTCTTCTTCAATCAATGTTATCTGACAATTTTCCATTAAAGTTCGCCATTTTCAATATTGTACATGCGAGGTTCAACTATCGCTTCCGAACATGCTCTGAATATTACCGAATGCTCGAGATTAGCATAACCCATTGTACGAAGGTGTTAAAAGCTAACAAGAACAATGTTTGTGAACAAACATTGACAAACGATCATGGGGTAAAGCTAAAACAATAGCGTCGTGGCTCCTTCCGTTAGTACCTTACATGGATAAACCCAAGTGCATCTTTGTGGGGTCAAACTGGTGTCGTATGCTAATCACTTGCACTGTTGTGTGGAGCGTGATTTATGATTACTGGCAAAAACAAAATTAATGTAAAGGAACTAGTAACCACAATTTTCCTACCACTGGGTCTATAGTAATTTGATAGCGGCACACTAACATCTTGTAAAACAATCATGTAACGTAATCAATCATTCAGCTTGTCTTTCCATAGGCATTTATTGTTTACTGCAAATATGCTAATGAGGAGATAAGTGAAGAGGAGTTTATTTTAAACATGCTAATGAGAAGACAAAGTGTAGGCGCGCATTTGAACTGAGACAATGCGTCTTTGGAAGTCAAACTTGTGTGTCTGCAAGGAAACATTGGATCAACATTGACCCGTGATGGCTGTAAAACAATCATGTAATCAATTATTTAGCTTGCATTTAGATTTTCCTTTAATTTTTTTTTGTATTACAAGCCAATATTACTGTGAAATATTCACCAATGTTCATCAATATCTTGCCATGTTTTTTGACTGCTTGCCAATTATCTAGTCACGATGGTGATTAGACATGACGTTTTATATAAATTGAAGTTGGTAAAACATTTTCAAGGCCACCCCACTCCTCCAAAATATGCCAAGCAGTACCAAAAAAATAGCATGAGAAAAAGGTTGAGCTAGTGTATGTGTTATTATTTTTATTGCAAATTACAACTGGCATGATCGAACTAATATATTGTTTACAAAACTTGACTAGCACTGTGGACGGTACATGTAGCAGCGCTGCCGCTGATCTCTTCTTGAAGTGGTAGTTTCTTTTTCGTTCTCAATCCTGCAGTTCAGTTACTAGAATTTATACCCCTATAATTCAAGCACTCAATTTATACCTTTGATAATTAGACCAAACAAAAAAATAATTTCTGTTTTTCTCTTGATAAATCGGCCACTCCTAAAAATAATTATTTTTTCATGGCCGAATTGATAGAAGGATTACGGTACGGTCATTTACACAAACATTTACATAAACAAGAAGGACATCAGCATACATGGTAGGTATGTTGCATTTGGACATGGAGCTACAAAAAAAACCTAGATGTATGCTGAAGCGCAACACTGGAATTCAACTTGGAGATTCAACAAACTTCAATAAGGCGACAATAACGCGTGAGTGTAGCATACAAATACACCGGCTATGAGTGAAACCGGAAACACAACTCATTATTGGAACCATTTGCTGACGTGTTCTCAGGCAACAACCACGTTAATCATTAGTCTGTTATCGTACATTGCTCCGCCACAACTCAAACGATAGAGTTTTGATTTACGTAAAATATATCAATCTATATGATATATTCGTAAATACTGTAAGAATACTTACCACGAAGAGTAACAGCAACGATAGCAGCAGACACGACAAGTCGGCCATATTCTCAGGGTTTCCTTGCTCCGTGTCGCCGAGAGGTGGCGCACACTAAAAGACAAACACAAATAGTAGAGTTGACTGGTTAGCTCTCTGCCTGCGTCCTACTTGCCATTCGCAAGGGACGCCGGGAACCAGCAACAACAGCAATAACAACCTACTGAAGGAGGTTAAAGGTTACAACAACAACAAAATTACGGATAAAAATGAATCAAATTACAATGGCTAATAGTTTAAAAGACAACCAAAAACAGACTAAATTGAAGTTAGTATGGCCAGACTTTTTTTTATTCCTTGTTTCGTTAGTTTTTATAAGGCAATTTTTTTGAGGAGGGCGGAAAAAAAATTAAATTAATTCTTTTTTTCCGTTAGATTTATGTGATTCTCAAAAAATTGTAAGTGAGATCATTGATCGGAGAGAATAAATGAAATACATTTTTATTCCATGTATAACCTTGTTTCTCATCTGCGCGAGACTTCGGTACTTTCAAGTTGATCAGGATACTCCCACGAAAATGCAACTTGGATGGTTGCCATGCTGTGAAAATGCCCGGATGCCCCCCCCCCCCCCCCCGAGAATACAGGGAATACAAATCCCCCCCGTATAATAAACGAAGATGGAAGACACACATCGAACTGAAAATACACAAATCACATATCTGTTTTACTTATTGATCTAATTTTCCAATTTTCTAATTGTTTACTTTAGTTTGTTACTTTTCTAGCTAGCTGTTGTTTATTTAAACAACATTCTTTATTGTATTATTTTCAAGACCCCAATAAGGATACGAAATCAATAAAGTTATTTACTTACTTTTACTTACTATCTTAAATAAATGGTTTAAATACATATTTACAGTATCAAAAACAATATTAAAGATTAAACAGCGCCATCAATGGCCAACTTTACTTAGCTAGCTGTTGTTTATTTAAACAACATTCTTTATTGTATTATTTTCAAGACCCCAATAAGGATACGAAATCAATAAAGTTATTTACTTACTTTTACTTACTATCTTAAATAAATGGTTTAAATACATATTTACAGTATCAAAAACAATATTAAAGATTAAACAGCGCCATCAATGGCCAACTTTACTTAGCTCACACACTATAAAATAAAAATATATTATTAAATCAGCGTTTAGTTCTTTTGACATAACGGGTGTCCATTTAATTACAGTTTACTTGTATGACACTTACTCCGTATTACGGGGGGGGGTCTTCGTTTTACAGATTACAACCCCTATATCTATAAAATTAGCGAAAATATCAGTCTTTAACCACGAAATTGTTCAAATTTGTTGTTCTTTGACCTCTGTCCATCATCATGACCACGTCCAATTTCTGGGACCATTGATGTCATGATTGTCAAATATATATCATCTTCCATTTCTTCTAACTTTGAGCTGATTTAATTATTTGAAACAGAATTGTCGTTACATAGAGGAATTAGTAATTTATTAAGTTATGGTAACTACTGACCAGGTGCTACTTGATAATTTGTTTGCATGTTGCGTCGCTATCCAGATCATGTAGTAATTTCTAAAATTTAGAGGCATCCTCTTCTGACATTTCTTTTTTCTCAATAACATTTTTATAATATTTTAGTGGAAACAATCTTAGGGTAGACTACCCTCCTGACATTTCTAACTCCTTAATTCTTTTAGATCGAGTATTTTTGTCCAAACAAAGTATGCACCCGCTGTTGTCGTGTCATTATTACAGTATTTTTTATAGATGAATTTATTGATTTTTCTGCATTCCAGACGTATTTAGGTGGTATATGGTTTAATTGAACTTTATGACCAATTTTAGGTTCTTTGTCATTGATAGTGAAATATGACAGTGATCTGAGAATTTTGAATGTTATCATAATGTTATTTTAATGCGATAGCATAGTCCACCGTGCTACTTCCCCCTTGGAGTGTGACACGTCCGTCAGTTGTCTCTTGGGGTCACCTACTTTACGTAGCGAACGTCTTTCGCAGCGATGTGCGGTTGTGAGTAGAATCAGAACGTCGAAACTCATAAACAAATTCTCAATTTTCGTCGGACTTGTCAGGTGGTAAATGCATTTCGTGCAAAATACACAAACAAGTGACAACATTGGAGATTACACAGTTATTTCTCAGATAGCTCTTTCTTGATTTATTTATTTATTTATTTATTTATTTATTTATTTATTTATTTATTTATTTATTTATTTATTTATTTATTTATTTATTTATTTATTTATTTATTTATTTATTTATTTATTTATTTATTTATTTATTTATTTATTTATTTATTTATTTATTTATTTATTTATTTATTTATTTATTTATTTATTTATTTATTTATTTATTTATTTATTTATTTATTTATTTATTTATTTATTTATTTATTTCACAACTCGTATTGAAATAATACATAATCAAAATATGTAGAACTACTAAACACATGGTCCATCCCGTATGTGTTAGGCGAGATGCGAGCCACCAACACCGAGGTCGGCACTATGAGAATAGCGTCATCAATGGTCAAAGCTGTTTTAAGTTGGCTACCGATGATCAGATTTTCTCCAAGGTATCACTATTGTTTTATAGCTCGTGCTGTTGTGCATCACAAATCTATATAAAATTAATATATGATCACTAAACTACTTTTCCAAACATATGTCAAGTGTTAATTTTTGGGTCTTTAACTTTTGGTTCCAAAACAAGAACTCATATGGCGGCACTCGAAATTTGTTTGGGCACATTAGCATTTGATCTACAAAATGGAGTCAAAAAAGATGTTCCTTGAATTCCGCCCTCTTCAACATTTACATCAATGATCTACTTGGTGAAATGAAAATTACTGATGCACTAACACTAAATAACAAAGAAATACCAAGTCTGGTATTGATAACAGGTACCTCTACAGGATTGCAGAAATAAATGAACTTCTTTTATGCAAGTTAACATTGAGAAGAAAACTGGAATGGTACCAAGCTTAATTA